GAGCCCCCAGACACGAGCGACACCCGGCAACAGCGAGGTGACTGGTGCCGCTCGGGGTGGCAGACACACAGCCAGAGGTCTGGGCCGCGGCAGAGGCATGCTGGCACGGCCCTCGGCGGGCCCGGGAAGGCTGCTGGAGGGCAGAGCTGGAGACTGTTCCTGGGTGTGTCTGTCGGGATGACAACCAGGCAGCTCAGACACAGGCAGAGGAGTCTGGAGGCTGAGGCAGGTCTGGGCTGGAGGGGTGCACGTGGGCATCCTGGACCCAGACACTGATGAGATCACCCCGGGGTGAGCAGCTGGGGGGGCAGAGGGAGGACGGAGCCAGGCCCGAGCCCCAGGGGCGGTGGGTGCCAAGGTTTGTTTTCCAAGATGGGAGAAATCATGTTTATCTGCCGATCTGGAGGCAGGTCACAGGGCCTCAATGCACATTATAACCCAGACCCCAGAGGGGCCAAAAGCTTAGGGAAGAATGGCAGGAAATGCCCCTCCGGTTGGTGTCCCCCAATTCCGGCCATCACCAGGCAGCTGTCTGGTATAAACAGCCGCGGGCCCTGAGCCAGAGCGCGGTCACACAGCCGCATGGAGACAAATGTCACAGACACCTGGAGAAACAGGGGCCGGCACAACCTTGTGCACCCCATCATCCCTGAGAAGACTTAGGGAGACCCCCATCTCTTGGGGAGACCCCCATCTCTCTGCTAGTCTCTGGAGGTTCTGAAAGTTTAGGATGCTTTAGAATTACCTGGCCTTAGGGAACCCTAAATGGGATTACAGCCCCCTGCGTTTGCACCCTGAATGCTGTACCGTGGATATGCTTGTGTGTTTCCGGGCAGGGGACCATCGGTTTCACCAGGTCTTCAAAGATATCCGTGTCCTTGGGAGACAAGGGGAGCCCGCAGGAGCTCAGGGCAGGCCAACATGCACCTTGTCCCGTCACCCCGAAGTCCCCCACACCAGACCATCCAGCCCAGAAACCGTCCGCCCCTCCTCGACTCTGCAGAGAGGGGCGATCAATCCATTAGCGAGTCTGCTATCAGCTCGCCGCGTCCTGAGCGGCTGCAAATCCCGGGGACAGCAGGATTCTCAGTAACTGGGTCACTCTGGTCTCCAGACTCACAGGCCTGCCCATGTAATCAGGACACTGACAGCCAGGAGAGCCCCTCGGTAGGCTAATTTCCCCGGGGTGCTGGCGGGGGGGTTCTGCGTGGTGAGTGTGCAGGACGGTGTGTGTGTGGTGTCCCACTGCGCATGGTGCGAGCGAGCGAGCTGTGTCCGGGGAGGGGTGAGGGAGGGTGTGAGTGTGCTTCCGGGGCTGGGTGGGGAGGGGTCGGGGGAGACCAGAGCATGATGTTCCGCAGCGCAGGCGCCATGTCGGGCCGCGTCTGGATGAACACGAGGCTCCGCCAGAAACGTGGGAAGCTCTCTGAAGGACGTGAAATCAGCCACGGGTCTCAATTCTCTATCTTCTACTTGCAGGGAAATTACATTTCACTAGAAACCCGAGTCGCCGCGCCCTCCACAAGCTGTGGTCCTGTGGTCACTTAGGAGCCTGCCTGGGGCTGGGGCGCACGGACAGCCCTGGGCGGCGGGCGGGTGGCGAGAAATGTAGTGAATGCAGACCTCTGCCGGCGGCCCAGACCCAGTGCCCGGAGGGGTTCAGGCCCCCCATCTCTCTTCTTCTGCGCCTCCCTCCCCCATGCATCTCGGCTCCCAGACACTGGGAGGGACAAGACCCCCCAGGTTCAGATTTCTGGGTTCTGTCCCTTTCTGGGCACAGGGGCTAGGACGGAGGGCGACCAGCTTCCCCCAACCCCCACTCTGGGCAGGACCACCACCCTCCGAACCCCATCTACCCGGGTGCTTTCCAGAGGCGCACGATGAAGCCAGCACCTGGCTCTGGCGCCCCCCCGTGGCCGGGACAGAGAACCAGGTGAAGCCCCGAAGGGCTGGGCCTGGGCCCCTCCCTGCAGAGCCAGGACCTGACCCGGGGGAGGCGCCTTTCCCCAGGCCTGTCATCTGCTACCCAGCCCCCCTCCCCGCTCTGCTCACATGGCCAGTGGGACGCATACGGAGAAACTGAGGCCGGAGCCTGCGATCCGGAGAACCAGTCACAAACGCTCACGTGAGTGACCAAAGCGTCACCTGTAAGCAAAGATTCTGACCTCCTACCCAGCTGCGGAGCTGCCTCCGGCGGTAAGAGCCCAGCAGCCTCATCAAGAATGCGGGGGGCTCCCCATTTCAGTTATCTGGAGCCCACCCACTACACCCCCCATAGGGAGCCCTGCCAGCTCTGAGGGGGTACAGGGCACAGTCCTGCCCCCGCTCTGGTCTCTGCCCCTGCCGCGCACAGGAGGGAGGAGTAACGAGTCTTGGGGGACCCCTGCAGGACGGGCTGCAGGTCCAGGCCCCCGGCCCTCTGGGTTTCTGGGCGCTGAGGCGGGGGCGGGGGCAGGCAGGGAGGAGCAGGCCCCGGCCACGTGCTGCTGCCACGGAGAGTTTAAACACCGCAGACACTCCACCCAGCGCTCCCGCCAGCACCGGGGACGTCTCCCCACAGTACACTGTGAATTAAACATGGGCCTAATGAGTTGATTTTATTAGTTTGCAAACGCATTGAGAACTCGTTATCAAAATAAACATCAATTCCTTTCACCCCTGCTGCAGCCTCTTGGAGCGGGGAAGAGAGCGGGAGAGTCCATCAGCCTTGACCAGCGGCCCGCGGGCCGGGTCCCTCGTCCTCCTCAGGGGGCCGTGGCCGGAGCGGGTGGGGCGGAAGGGGAAGGTCCTGCTGGCCACAGCCAGACCGGGAGCAGCCTGCCAGCGGCACCCGCACTCCGCCGACCCCTGGGTGGGCGTGGAGGTGGGCAAGGGCCCCGGGCACTCAGGTCGGCGGCAACGACGTGCCAGGGGTCAGCAGCACGCACCGGCGCTCCTTACGTGCCCGGCCCAGGCCACATGCCCCTGGCCTTCACTAACCCCGCGGGCAGGAGACGCAGCCGTAGGTGACGCCGCTGAGGCCAATGAGGCTCGGGCCTGTGGGACTGCAGGCTGGCAGGCTGGCAGGCTGGTTAGGCTGCAGCCCCCTCGCTCCACTCTGTCCTTGGAGTGGCCGCAGGGTGACCTGAGAGACCAGGACTCAGGAGTCTTTCTCCTGCAGAGCTCAGTGAGGCCTGAGTGAAAGACAGCGGGGGGCTCGCGTTCCCCCAGAAAGAGCCCGGTTCTGGGGCTGGGCAGGGGGCAGGAGCTGGACACGTTGACCTTTGGAGGAACCCACCCGCCTAGCCCAGGGCTCTCTGGCCCCAGGCCAGTCTCCCGGAGACCCCAGTGAGTCTCCTGCTCCTCGGCCCGGGCCCCCCGGCCCTGGAAGCTGCGGCTCAGCCACGAGGCCGGCAGGACAGGGACCGTATTGTCAGGCTCTGCCGTCCGTGCGCTCTTGGGAGGGGATGTTCTGATCCCATTCCATCCGCTTCCCATGGCTGTCAGCTGTTGGCAGGCATTTGGGTCACAGTTTCAGAAGTCGGCCATTGTGCGGCCCCTCCCCCGCGCCGCCCCTCCCCCACGGCCTGTGGCCTCCATCCATCAAGACGGGGCCCTTTGTTGTCCAGCCAACCCCCATCCAATGGCATCCCGGGCCTCCCCCCTGCCAGCTGCCCCACCTTTCGGTCTATTTTGGGCTGGGATGCATCTGCCCAGTCCCTAGAGGAAGGAGGGGGGCCCCCCGGGGCAGGGGGCGCCTGGGCATTCCACAGGGAGGGGATTCGCGCTGTCCGGGTCACATGCCGTGCATCTTCCTGAGCCTGTGACCCGTGCACCCTGCGGGAGACCTCGGCCCGTCCGGCCCCCTCCTGGCCCGGCTGTGGCTCCAGCAACTGACCGCAGAGCCCGGGGCCCGCCGGTCACGCAGCATCTGCGCCCAGAGTCGGCGCCCGCGGAGTCCTGCTCACCGCAGTGCTGCTGCTGTACCCGGCTCCTGGGGCTGTGCCCGGCACACCTAATACAGCCTAACGGCCTCGGAGGGTGGGATTCCAGGCCAGGAGGACGAGCGTCTCAGAAAGGTCCAGGCGGCCTGACGGCGCGGGGTAGCCCTGGGCAGCCTGCCCAAGTTGCGCTGGGCCACTGTCCTCAGCTGAGGCCCCGGCCCGCGCCCGAGGCCGCCCTCGGGCCAGGGGACGAGGCAGGTCCCCGCGCCTGGCACTCACAGACCCTGCCCGAGCTCAGCGCCCTTCTGCGGCCCCTGCCTTGCTCCTGTCCTGCCCGTGGGGCGCCAGGCCTCTCACCCCAGGAGCTGGTCGGGCCAAGGCAGCCCTTCTGAGACCACGCTGGGACAGTGAAGTAAGCAGCACGCGTGCAGACCACACAACACACATGCACACGCCACACAACCCTCAACACACACGCTCAACACACGCTCAAACATACGTGCACAGCTCCCCCGACCCCCACACACACGCTCAACACACGCTCAAACATACGTGCACAGCTC